CAGCATCCGCCCGTGCATGTCTGCTCACCGGGCTGCTGCAGCCAGAGGCAGGGACATGGCTCCAGCCATGCAGCACCGTCACCTGTGAGGAGCACTAAGCAAAGCTCAAACCATTTTATTGAATGGCATCACGTGGCGTTGCCAAAGAGCTGGCAGGAGCAGCGGCTGAAAACAGCGTGGTATCGATTCACTTGACAGCTGGTGTCCTGTGCGTGCATTTGTGTGCAACACCAAGAAATGCCAGGATGAATTGTCAGGGAAGGCTTTCATTGTCCCAGACAGCTTGCCTGTGTCGTTGTTGCCAAATACAGGGGAGCCCGCTCTGGTTACCCACGTCGGAGGCGTAAATTAGAAGATCCTAACAGAGCGGAGCGGTAGTAGGCAGCCCCTTCACCTCCGTGAGTAGGTTATTGAACACCACTGTTCTCCTGCTCTTGCTGGGAGCGAGGACAGGGCTGTCCATCGGCTTTTGACCTGGGGTAGTGAGAGAAAATAGGGTGTTTCAGGGGCAGGTGGAGCAGTTGGGTCGAGGAGGCCAGGCAGGTGAGGAGTGGGGCAGGGTCGCTGGAGAGAGGGGCTGCCCCTCCTGCCACCACCCGAAGGCAGCAGGGCTGGCACCCCCCGCGCCGCAGCCCGGCCGCTGACACCCTCCTCTCCCCCAGCCTCCATCGTGCTGCAGAAGTGGTGGTGCCAGATGGAGCCGTGCCTCGACGGGGAAGAGTGCAAGGTGCTGCCCGACCTCTCGGGCTGGAGCTGCAGTAGCGGCAACAAAGTGAAGACGACCAAGGTATGTCCCCGGGCAGGGTGCTGGGGGGGTCCTGGCTGCGCTTTCCCCAGCCTGGGACAAGCAAAACCCAGGAAAGCATCCCTGCCGAGTTCGCAGGGGAAGGGGAGAGCTCCGGCTTCTCCGGGGAATGCGCCGTTTGTTATGGATGCACCGAAGCGGAGCGGAGGGTCTGGGCTGTGCTGTTGTCACCGGTGCTGGAGGGGCTGGCGTGGGTAGCACAAACCCCGAGTGGGTCCCACAGCTTTGCTGATCGATAACTCCCGTGGGGAGGCTCAGTGAGGAGGCCGTTGGGTGGCTCAGCCCACGAGCAGACGTGCTGGGGGTATTTCCATACCAGCCTGGGGCTGCTGGGCCATCCCGGCCGCTCCCCAGCATCTCCCCACTGCTCCAGGACAGCATGCCGCTCGTCCCAGCCCGGTGGCACAGCCCTGAATCCGTCACCGCTCCCCCGTCTGAGGCAATCATCTGTGACAGAGCGCTACATGATTATTATTTTCATGGCTTGCTGAATGCCCCAAAGAACAAGGTGTAATTAAAATTTTATCAAACTCATTAGTAATTACATATATGCCATGGTTAATCAGTTGCATAATTTTGTAATCATTGTTCATACTGTTGAGTGTAATTATTCCTTATGCTTTAGGTTTTCTCACCCCACATCCCCTGCCATAAAATTATCGTATTAAATGATGTTGGGATTTTTTGCATTATTGCTATTATTTTTGTGCACAGAAAACACTTTCATGCTCAAGTGTTTTTACGGACATTGAAGAAGGTTCCTCTGGCCCTGGGCATCCATCACTGACCCATAACAGCAGCACTACGTTTAGCTCACTGTCTTTTTCCCACCTTAACATTGTTTGTTTATTTTCCCCCAACCGGTAACTAACTTGGCCCAAAGCCTCTGCCCTGGCTTTGCTGTCCTGGGCTCTCACTGCGGACCATTCCCATCTGCAGGACCCCTCGTCCAGCAGCCTCGACCTCCACGGCCGCCCTCCTAGCACCCTTTGGGTCTCTTCCCCTCCCCTAGGGAGGTGATGTTTTGGAAACGCAGAGCCATGTTTTCAAAAGGAATTTTGGTCACTTTGGGTGCCCCATTAGGTGCCGAGGGGGCTGGATTTGCCCCTCCCAGTCCCCTCTGCAGACAGACCCCCAGTGGAAGCTGTAGCCAGAGCACGAGGTTCACAAACAATCCATAAGCTGAAATTTGGAACGAGCACCCCACTAAATGAACGCAAAGAGCAAATCATATTTGCATCTCCCGAGGCTGTCCGCTGACAATTCGCGGGTGGGGGAGTCAGCTGGATGTGCTGGGTAACTCAGCTGGCTCCAAACAGATTGACCCTTCCCTGGGCGCCTGCCCCACTCTTCTCCTCTGCCCGCAGGTCACACGATAGCCTCCGTGCAGCTCGGCGGCAGCTGACCGGCCTCGGCGCGGGTCCCTGGTGCTCTGCAGAGCCGAGAGCAGCAGCATGTGGCCGGAGCGGTGCCTGCGGAGGCGGGATGCTCCGGGGCTGCCGTCCTGCGCCTGCTGACTTGACTGTGCCAGGTAACCGGATCAGAGCATCGCTGAGCCCCGGCTTCTCTGGAGGCTGCAAGTATGGGACCCCAGCTCAGCTGCAAGACTCCTGTCACCCCACGGTCCCCTCTTCCCCCGTGGGCACACTCACTGACCAAGAAATGGGCTCATTTTCCTGTCTTCTTAAATAAAATACTCCAGTCGTCTAAGAGCTGTTGACAATACAGAGACAGGCAGACAGCGGTCCCCCAAAATGGGCTTTATTCTGAGATAGCTGAAATCATTGCTGTGAGTCGCTTTTCCCCATCTCCCAAGATGCTGAATCAGGGTTGCCACCAGGAATTGGGAAGTCAATGATTGTGCGAAAGCTCCCCCCGTTCGGCTCACGGCTCCTGGCCCGGTGGGTTCCCAGGAGTGGGCGCTGAGCTCCGCCCTTGAGTCACTGGGGGCTGCTCTGCCCCTCGAGCCTTCTGCTTTCCCTGCCCCACCACCTGGCTGCTGTGACCACGTCTGGCGGGTGCGGTGGCATGGCCAGGGGTGTCTGACACCCCATCAGCCCCCGGAGTTGGTGAAACGTCTCCATGGAGCATGCTGCTGGTTTCTCCTTCCTTGGTAATTGCATTAATCAGGCTGCAAGTTTAATATGTTTTCTACTGTGCAAGTCCTAGGCACCAAGTTACTGCTTGCGTTTGCAATCGAATTTCAGAATAACGTGCAGGGGAAGCTCTCTTCTGTCTGTGGGTCTGGTGTGCCTGACTCTGTGCCAGTGCCCAGCCAGAGACCCAGACCGAGCCAGGTTTTGTTGCATTAATTCAAAATAAAGAAAAATGTACCATCTCCTGGCCCTGAGCTCGTGACCTTCTCCAGGACACACCGTTCCCTCTGGTGTGGCAGCTCGAGGGGGAGAGGACGGGAGCCCCGTGCTCCTGACATCAGCGGGGCCGGGGACCCCGGGGCTCCTGCACTGGTGCGGCCGGCAGCACACG